GTGACCTGCCCAACCATGTTAGCTTCTTTCTTACCTTTTGTCCTATCTGGATCCGGTCCTCGCCTAACCTTGTGTCTGTGTCCTGGTTCTTAGGCGTTTTGAGCTTGTAAACTGAACAAATAGATTTCACACTCTTCTGCCAACCTGGATCATGAAGTTTAAGAGCATCTCTACAAAAAAATGAGTTTGAGAAACGAGGTGTACCTAGTAGAGAAAAATCTGGTGGTGATGCATGAGATTCGAGCCAGTTCTCACGATGGTTTGATGAGTAAGTGACCTGCCCAACCATGTTAGCTTCTGTCTTACCTTTTGTCCTATCTGGATCCGGTCCTCGCCTAACCTTGTGTCTGTGGTCCTGGTTCTTAGGCGTTTTGAGCTTGTAAACTGAACAAATAGATTTCACACTTTCGTCTGGATTGTCCTTTTGATTTAGTATGAATTCTATTGTCTCGTCTCCAATGGACATAGTAAGACGACCCGCTCTGACGTGGATGACGACATCTGCTGTGTTGAGAAAGGGACACCCTAGAATGATAGGCATGCTTGAATCTGGGTCTGCCATCTTACGGGGCAGATCATGTTGAAAAATGGCATTGCACTCTTTGGTTAATGCTATTGTCTCCTTCTCCAGTGTCTTCTTCCTAGCCAGAATATCCTTGAGAAATTTGGCATAAGAGGGCATTTGAGTGATTACCTCATGAAAAGGTATTGTGACCTCCAATTTCTTTATCATGTTCGTGAAGCGCTTAAACTGGCTGGCCTCTTTTTGTTGCACAAGTCGTGAAGGGAATGGAACTGGAGGAGGTCTGGGAGGTGGAGGAACATACTTTGGTTCTTCCTCACATGTCATCTTAACTGGAGTATCTGCAGACTGAATGTTAGAGGTGATCGCAGATCTAGAGTAAAAAGACTCACCTTTTTCAAGAGTAGGGGGGACGACATCCTCAAGTTGCTTCCCGCTTCTTAAGAACACTGCATTGCAGTGCTCTCTAGGATTTATCTCGGGTTTACCTGGAAGTGATCCTTGAGGTCGCGAAGGTATAGAGGCAGCAAGTTGAGCTATTTGATTATCGATAAGCTTGAAATGGGCGTCGGTCTTCTGTTGATGTTCACGCATCTCGGTGCGAATGACTTCTTGACCCTGCATAAGCTGTGTGAACATAGACTTAAGATCGAGGTCAAAATCTACCTGTGGTGGAGGCGGAGACGGAGCGTAATTCTGCTGAGATTGAAAAGGCGCTAGGTAGTGTTGAACGGCCTGATTCTGATGTTGTTGGAGAGATCGGGGTCGAGGTTGATGTCCTTGAGAAAGACCTTGATTAGACGGACCACCGAAATTTCCATGGGGAGTATTCAAGACGTTGGAAGAATTCGTGTACGAGAAGTTTGGATGATTCTTCCACCCCGAATTGGACACGTTCGAGTACAGGTTGTTATCTACATAGTAGGCGTCTTCGATCTTATACCCGTTGGCTGATGTGTCTAAGTCTGAGATCTGATGGGCATTCTCAACCTGCATTTTAAGTTTTGCCAATTCTGCACGTAATGCCTGAATTTCAGATAGACTTTCCTTACCTGCACGACTTTCTTTGAGGCTAACGTTTCTGATAAACTCGTGAGAGCGAGCACACTCATTGGCCATCTTGTTGATCTGTTGCTCTATGAAGTCGAATGACTTTTCGTTGAGGCTTCCTCCACATGCTACTCGAATAAGAACCCGAGTGTCCTCCTTTAATCCCTGCAAGAAAGTGGAAATAAGGTACCTTTTATCCCATCCATGGTGAGGACATGTTCTCTGGTATCCTTGAAAGCGATCCCAAGCTTCACGTAAGGATTCATCAGGTTCCTGCAAAAATGAGTTAATTTGTTGTTTCGCGAGCTGGGTCTTGCTAGCGGGGAAGAACCGCTGCATGAACTTTTCTTGCATCTGTTCCCATGAGCATATGGAATCTGGAGGTAGTGTGTAGAGCCATTCCAGAGCAGTATCCATTAAGGAGAATGGAAAGGCTATGAGCATGAGAGACTCATCGGTAACTCCGCGGACTGTCCTCACTGACTGGCATAGTAGCTTGAATCGAGTCAAGTGAGGGATCGGGTCTTCGTTAGGTTTACCTCTGAAAGCCGATGAGCTCAACATATTGATGAATGCCGGTTGAAACTCAAAATTGTTACGGTCGATATCAGGCCGGCGAATGCATGAGAATTGCTGAATGTACTTGGGCTGAAGGTATGCCCCATAAGTGTCATTGTTGTTCTCAGCAACTATAGCACGTTCCTCCATCTTTCTTTGTTGTCGTTTCTTCTTTCGATTGCGCTTAGCGGACTTCTCGATTTCACGATCAAGAGGTACTAGGTTATCAGACCCAGAACTTCTTTTCATACACTGGGAAACCTACACACCAGAAAGTAGAACGAACAAAAAAATAGATCAAGAAATTGAGGGAAAACAAAAAGGAAAAAGGATCTAGATTCAAAGGAATCTTTATCCTAGCGCTAAACTATTCCCCGGCAACGGCGCCAAAAATTTGATAACGCAAATCTAGGTATAGAAATAATGCTCAAGTGATAAAAACCTAGATACAGCGAAAACCGCAAGGATACGGATCAACTGTAGTACCAGGGTCGAACACAGGGAATAGTTAACACTAAAAACAGGACTCGACTAAGAATCAGATCAGGAAATAGCAGATGGAAGAGATGAATACCAAAAATAAAGCAATAAGTAAACAAAGTAAAATCAGATAATTAAACCACCGTAGCTTCGGGATAACCTTAACGCGCAGGCATTGTTTCTAAGGATGAAGAATCTACGAATATCGAACTCTAAACGGGGATCTCAAGTTCTAATATCAGATTTGGCTCTCTCAAGTCCTAAATCCACTATCCAATAATCTAACCTATCGATTTCTCAACCTAATAGATTAAAATATCAAACGCATTAACGATCACTATCACAGTTCCTAAACCGATTAACCTATCTCTCAATAGTCTTAATCAATTCATTCAATGAATTCGTTCCAAATCTAATTCCAACTCTCGTTGTAAATCAGAATCTAAGATCGATCAATCAACAGGCCAAGAAGATCAAAAGCAATAAACTCAATTCAATTAAACCGAAGAGTATCGATAACGTAGTCTCGGAAAATAAAAAACCAAACAAATCCCTACAAGGTTAAACCCCTAGCTACAGTGAAACGGCTACTCACTACCCATAACAACGAACGAGTTCAAATCAATAAGAAGAAACATAGAAACAGATAATGAAGACTCGCAGCGATCTCTCGACGACGATTCTTCAATCTCTGCTGCCGGGAAACTCCGTCTTGATTCTCTCTCGAGTTCTCTGGCTTTTCCTGTGATCTCTCGAT